CAGAATAACTAAGAGCAGAAACTTGAATAGATATTTGCACCCCATGTTCACAGCAGCCAAAAGGTGGAAGCAACCCACGTGTCCTCCCACGGATGAATGGCTAAATAAAATGGGTATGTACATAAAACAGAACATGACTCCGCATTAAAAAATAAATTCTAACACAAGCTACACCGTGGATGAACCTTGAGGACATTACACAAAGTAAAATAAGCCAGTCTGTCTCAAAAACACAAATACTATATGATTCCACTTAGAAAAAAATTTTTTTTTCTCATGGTGTCTTTGTTTGGCTTTGGTATCAGAGAAATGCTGGTCTCAGAATAAGTTAATATTCTCTCCTATTTTTCTGAAGAGTTTAAGAAGGATTGGTGTTAATTCTTCTTTAAAGGTTTGGTAGAATTAACCAGTGAAGCCATCTGGTCTTGGACTTTTTTTTTTTGTTTAGGAGGGATTTTTTTTCTATTATTGATTCAATCTGTTCATATTTTCTATTTTTTTCTTGAGTCAGTTTCAATAATCGGTATTTCTAGGAATTTTCCCATTTCATGTAGGTTATACAATTTTTTTCCTATATTTATTCATACTATTCTCTTAGAATCATTTTTATTTCTTTAAGGTCAATAGTAATATCCTCACTTTCATTTCTGATTTTAGTTATACGCATTTTTGTTGTTTTTTTTCCTTTGCCAGTCTAGCTAAAACTTTGTTGATCTTTTCAAAGAAACTTGTGGTTTTGCTGATTCTCCATATTGTTTCCTATTCTGTATTTTGTTTATCTCCACTTAATCTTTTTTATTTCCTTTCTTTGTTAGTGTTAGATCTAATATGCTCCTCTTTTCTAGTTTCCTTAAGGTGAAAAGTTAGGTTATATGTTTTAGAGCTCACTGGTGTGCCACAAGAATTTGTAAAACATGCAATACCTGACTACTTAGTCAGGGGCACTGACCTCTTTTCCCTTAGATTAACACATAAAAAAATGCCAACAGCCAACACAACAATAGCCGTCTGGTGTGAACTCCCTGTCTTAAACCATAAATATATAGGTCAGATAATAGACTTGCATCTTATTGGTCACGTTGCATAAGATTGCATCTGATTGGTTAATTTTTGGTACCAGAAATCCTTATGTACAAGTGTAGGCACTTGATTTTTTTTAAAGTCACTTTGTTTTTGTTGTTGTTATTCATTTGGTCGTTTTATAATTGTAATCAATGAGTGTGCTTGTGAATTTAGTTTGGTATACTTCCAGAACTGTTGGTATCTTTCTTAATATATTTTTATTGATTTCCAGAGAGGGAGAGACAGAAACATCAATGATGAAAGAAAATCACTGATTGACTGCCTCTTGCACAACCCCCACTAGGGATCGAGCTGTAACCCAGGCATGTGCCCTGACCGGAAATCAAACCATGACCTCCTGGTTCATAGGTTGACACTCAACCTCTGAGCAACACCAGCCAGGCTTAAAAATTCACTTTGGAATAAAAAGTGTAGGTAGTTACTATTATATTTTATTTTTGTAAATCAATCAAAATTATACCCTTTTTTGGTCAGATCAACAAAAAATGTATTTTTTTGGTGTGCCACAGAATTTTAGGAATTAGTTTATGTGTGCCAGGGGATGAAAAAGGTTGAAATCGCTGCTTTATGTGTTTACTGCTATAAATTTCCCGCTGCTTTCACTGCATCTCACAAGTTATGGTATATAGTGTTTTCATTTTCATTCGTCTCTAATTATTCTCTAATTTCACCTGTGATTTCTTCTTTGATCTGTTGGTTATTTAAGAGTGGTTGCCCTAGCCAGTTGCTCAGTGGTTAGAGTGTCGGCCTGCAGACTGAAGGTTTGATTCCAGTCAAGGGCACGTACCTTGGTTGCAGGCTTGCTCGGTCCTCAGAGCTGGTTGGGGTATGTGCGGGAGGCCAACCAAGCAATGTGTCTCTCTCTCTCTCCTGCTCTCTTTGACTCCCTCTAAAAATCAATGGAAAAATATCCTCAGTGAGAATTAACAACAACAAAAAAATGTATTGAAACTTGTTTGTGGCTCAACAAATGGTCTATTCGTGGAGTCTTATGTTCACCTGCGAATGTGTATTCTGCTTTGCTGGGTGTTTTGTACATATTTACTAGGTCTAATTGGTTTATATTTTGTTCAAGTCCTCTGTTTCCTTGCTGATCTTCTGCCTAGATGTCCTGTCCCTTATTACAGCTGAGGCAAGCATTTTAGTGTTTGATTGGATGACAAAAAGCGTGAATTTTACATTGTTGGGTTCTGACGTGGGTTTTATGCCTCTAAATAGTGCCGGACTTTGTTCTTGTGCACAATTAAGTTACTTGGGATTACTTGGAGCCCCCTGAGGACTCTCCCCAATGCCCCATGTATCACAAGGTATTTACACTCTGGACAATGGAGACACAAACTATCCCCAGCATTCCGTGAGCTCTGCAGATTGTTTCCTTACTGTTTCCCAGTAGTTCTTTCCCTGGCTTTGCGTAGGTCCTGTCACCATCTACGGATCAAAACTCAGCCAAAGACTGAAGGGGAGCCCTCTGCAGATCTCCAGAATGCACGCACGCTGGCCTGCACGCCTCTACTGCAATATACACTCCATCCGCCTGCCCCACCCAGCTCCCTGCTCTCTGGTCCTCTGCCCTGCAATTCTTGGTCTTCCCGAACTCTTCCCTGTGTTCCTAGCTCCTCAAGCCTGGGCTCTGCTCCGGTCCCTCCTCCCTGCATTGCAGCCTATGAACAGCCTCATGGCCCTCCATAAACTGCAACAGAAGGGCTGCTCCCATTTGCTTCCATTCTCAGGGACCACAGGCTGCTGCCACCTGTCATTCAGTGTCTAAAAGCCACTGTTTACATATTTACTTGTTTGTAAAGGAAGGGTATGTGTTATCGCTGCCTAACTAACCTCCCCTGACTGTTTCTGAGGTTCCGCAATCAAGGAGAAGCCTCACTGGGTGGTTCTGGCTCAGGATCTCTCGTGAGGTTGCAGGTAGGGGTCAGGGGGTCAGGGGTCAGTGGGCCAGTGGGCCAGGGCTGGGAGCCTGAAAGGGCAGGAGATCTGCTTCACAGAAGGCTCCTCAGAGCCTTGTCAGCTGTTGGCAGGAGGCCTCAGTTCCTCGCCACGTGGGCCTCTCCACTGGGCTCTTCCCAACATGGTAGCTAACACTCTCAGAGAAGCTATTTTTCAGTCCCCTAAGTGCGGGCTGCATCCTGTGGCTTCAACAGAGATGGGCGGACTGTAGATCCTACTCCGCAACCAGACTTGGAGAGAAAAATGACTCGGAGCGAGTAGCAGCAGTTGTAAGAGAAAACAATAGAGTTCCTGCGCCCGCGGCAGGAAAGGGGAGGAGAGCCGCAGCTGACTGGTCTCAGGAAAGGGTCAAGCTCCACTCCCCCGAACAGACCAACCTGAACGTCCACCTTTCCCCCCAGGCTCCAGAGCCAGACAGCAATAGCAACAGCGACATGCACACGGCGACAACATACCCACACCAAGCACAGCAGCAACAGTCCCAAGACCAGCACTAAGCATTTGCCTTTGTCACCTCAGCACAATCCTGTGAGATGGGAATCATTAGCCCTACACTCCAGGCCTGTGTTTCCTGAGGCCCTGAAGGGCAGACACGCTTTACAGTGCATCTTGGTGCCGCTTTATTCTCCCAGTGTAACCCCGGGCTCCCTCCACCCTGCAGGGGGCACTAAAATTCTGCTCCGTCCTGCCTGCTCTCCCACCCCACTCGATCAGGCCTGAGCGCTTCCTCTTAGAGTCCACGTTCCCAGCACCTACTACCAAACCTCTTTAAAAGAAACCATTAAAAAAAAAAAAAACAAGCCGAAACTGGTTTGGCTCAGTGGATAGAGCGTCGGCCTGCGGACTGAAGGGTCCCAGGTTCGATTCCGGTCAAGGGCATGTACCTGGGTTGAGGGCACATCCTCAGTAGGAGATGTGCAGGAGGCAGCTGATCGATGTTTCTCTCTCATCGATGTTTCTAACTCTCTATCTCTCTCCCTTCCTCTCTGTAAAAAATCAATAAAATATATTAAAAAAAAAAACAAAAAACAAAAAACCCACACATTTAGACCTCTTTTATTTATTTTAACTTTTAGCATTTTTTTTTTTTAATCAGACCTCTTTGAATCCCCTGCTCGGGCTTTCCCGATGCCACCGCTGCCTAATATAGACTCCCCGACCCTGCAGACAGCCGCCCTGTCAAGTGTGCCTCACCAACTAATCCCCAAAAATGTGCCCCACGTCAGCCACTCGATTTAACATATTATTTCACAGCACATGTGCCTTCTTCATTTATATTTGCTACAACTTCATGTTAAGATGGGTTTCCTCTCCCCCAGGGACTTATAATTAATCATCAGGGAGAAAGGCCAAAACTCTACCAAACTCCTACAGAGGTTTTCATTAGATAATTATTGAATAATAAATTAAGAAATATATAAGGCAATGATTATAAATAGTAGCTCACAATATTCTCAAGGGGGTATAATCAAAAGAATTTTATTTACAAAGAAAAAGAAAAACAGAGCAGTGGACACAAATAAGCAATTCACAAAAGACAAATCCAAAAGAACCAATATATGCAAATCATAGGAATGCAAATTAAAGTAACACTTTTTGTCAGACAAATTGGCCAACATTGAAAATGTGTCAAGGATGTAAGGAAACAGGCATTCTAATAAACTTTTAATAAATGAGATTTTGTATTTTTAGTATTTTTGCATTAAGTATCTTTAAAATCTACATACCCCTTTGACTAGTATTTCTATTTCTCATACTTAATTACAAGAAAATAATGGACCAAGGACTACAGATGTAAAATTACATGGCACTAATTATAATATACAATCTGTCCAACAATAAGGGTTTGACTAAATAAATTTTAGTGCCTCCAAACTATGATTATGAACTCACTTCAGAATATTAGGTGCTGTATACACATATTTTTTAAAACAACATATATTCACACAAAAACATACCTGCGTAGAAAAATATCTAGAAGTATACACCCCAAAATATTAGCAGTGATAATCTCTGTAAAAGAATAGTGGAATTATTTGTGATTTTTTTTTCTCTTTGCTTATTTGTACCACTTAACTTTTCTACATGAGTTGCACATGGATCACAACACACACTCCAGACAAAAGTCAAATTGAGGAGCACAAATTTAAAGGAAAAGTGTCATTATTCTAAAAGAACATGATCATTCCCAAATGCCTAATAAGAATAATGTCAGGCAGGGTTAATTTTTTTTAAAAAAAAAAGTCAAATAACTTAGTATTCAATAGCCTAGGTTTTAATTAGTACCAGAAACACACCCAGGAGGATTTGTTAGTACTCTTCAGGCATTTTAAGACAACAAAAGGACCTCCCAAATAAAAATTGAGTCCTAATCCTAAAGACAGTGCTGAGATCACATAATAAAAACCTCCACTGCTCCGAGTGGAAGGTCGGCCTCCATCGCCTTTTGTTACATTTATCTCGGGAATCCTCCTCTGCAGGGAGAGCAGTCACCGTGAAAACGAGCAAACATAAAATCACTCAGAAGTTGAAGAATCCAGTGTAAGAGAAAGCCCTCTCTATAGCTTCCGCAATCCAAATGAGGGTAACTCTTCCCTTCAGACTCGCACATTTTGGGGGACAACACTTGGTCGATAGCAAGAGAGGCTCCTGAAGTGAGTCCGCAATACACGTCTATGACAAGCAAAGCGCGCACGGCCGCAGGCACTGGGGACGATCTCTAGCCGAAACCCGGGCCCGCTGTGGCCATGCAGACGGTCGCTTAGGAACCACTCCACGTGCCTGACTCAACATGACCAGCAGCACGGACAGTTAGTAAATCCTGAGTGGGACTCACCTATGAATGCTACTTTTCAGTGATGTTGACTGGCACAAAAGGATCAATTCCATCTGTGTGCAGCAGAATATAAAACAAATTATTCTAATCGGACCCCTATCACTAATGGCAGGTGTCCACACGGTCGTCTAGAGGCAACTTCACACGGTCAGCACAGTTTGCCGGCCATGTCTCAGAAGCTCTGTGAACGCATGCAGTAGGGATTCACCGCCTAAGCACAGTGCAGCTCTGAAATGCCTTTAACCGCTATCAGTGATGGCTTGGATGAAAGCAGTATTTATTGCATGAGAAAATTTTCCAATGCCAGGAGAAAATCAAAGAACAGCTTTGCAGAAGGGAGAGATTTTACATTAATGGCATTTGTGTAAAGCAAGCGTCATCTAGCCCCAGAACGGACAACACCGTTATGTGGTTGCTGTTAAAAAGAATGCAGATACCCTCGCTTTCATCACAACCCTTGCACCTTTCATCCACTCATTCAGCTAATAGATGAACACTATCCCCAACAAGAACTACTAGGACCTGAGATACAAGAGTAAGCAAGCAAGGTCACTAGCTCCAGGGAGCATTGGGCTACAGGATATCTAATAAACAGACATTAAACAACTAATGACATATTTAAATGTCAAGGAAATGTCAGGGTGTCATTCAATAGAAGGGCAGGCAGGGTGCCGGGAGAGCAAATACTAGGCCGATGGGAGAGGCCGCGCGCAGGGGAACAGCGAGGTCAGGCAGAGGTGCTCTCGCGGAGTCCCTGCGGTGGGAATGACCCTGCCCCGTGAAGGAACTGAAACAGCCTGGGAGAACTGAAACAGTGAGACTGTTTCTTGGGCACGTGCTAAATCTGAGATGTATAAAAACATCCAAGTTAAGAGATCAAGCCGGAAAAAAAAAAAAAAAAGAGATCAAGCCGGTCACTGCTATGTGACTCTGGAGCTCAGAGAACAGGTCGAGACCAGGAGTAAACTTGGAAGTCATTAGAGACGGCGTGTGGTGCACAGGAACTGGGTATGTCCCGGGCAAGGTAAGCAGGTGGGGTGGGGGGAGGGGAGGGAGACTTGCATTACTTCCTCAAATCACACACAAAAAATTACTTTTGCAATCAAATTTTGCCATCTAGACCAGCTGGTTTGGCTGAGTGGTTGAGCATCAGCCTATGAACCACAAGATCATGGTTCAATTCCCAGTTAGGGCACATGCCCAGGTTGCGGGCTTGATTCCCATTGTGGGGCATGCAGGAGGCCGCCGATCAATGATTCTCATCATTGATGTTTCTATCTCTCTCCCTCTCCCTTCCTCTCTGAAATCAATAAAAATATTTTTAAAAGAAAAAAAATCTTTTGCCATCTAAACTTCTCTCTTGACTTGCAAACGTGAAATAAAGTGCTTTCTAATACTACAGTTACGATACAATGCCCGATTTGTTCAGAAAGGATAAGATTAAGGGTATAAAGTTCTTGGAGAAATGCCAAGACCCAAGAAAACTATTTCTTTCAGTGAACCTAAGGCACGCGAAGCTGTCATTTATTTAGCAGAGCACTTCCTTCTCGCCTTTTCCAGTGCCCTAGAAAGGAACCTTTTTTTAACACACCGATACGACCACTTCACAAGATTTGTCACTAGAAGTGCTTGCAGCCCGCAGAACTGCCACGGGCTGAAGACGGATCACAATGGTCAGCATTCTGAACACGCCAACACGTCCTGGAGAGACACGACATCAAAAGGAACCAGCAAACTGCCGAGCCCGCTCAGTGCGCCTGAAAGTTATCACCACTCAGGATTACCGCTGTAATCCTCAAACAGCCTGCCCTGCACGGCCGCCTGCGAAGAAGAGCTAGCGTGTAACTGCTCTGTGAAGCGGTGGTCAGGTTATGGTTACAGAAAAGCCAGGTAAAAACGTGCCACGGGGTATATGGCCCAAGCACCACATTCGTATGACAGGCCTCAACACACACTCACCTGGTTGATTTGAAGCATGTTAAAGCAATATGGACCCAACTGCTGGATCCCTCACGGCTCCAAAATCTGGAAAATGGAAACGGAGAAATAAAGTTGAGCTTAGTTGGTGATTTCAAGGATTAGCACTTGTAACACACACCCCTGATCAAAATCAGATATAAAATGGAGAACTTTCTAGGACGATAAACATGTTCTCTATCTGCAACGCCCAGCTCGGTAGCCTCTAGCCACACACGGCTCCTGAAGCCCTTGAAATGTGGCTAATGCAACCAAGAAAGCAAATTTTTACTTCTCTTTAATATTAACTGAAATTTACATAAGCACATGTGGCTAGTGGCTACCATTCTGGACAGCGCAAATCTAAGCTGAATAAAGTGCGCCCCACCCCCCAACCCCTACCCTGGTTCTAGAGTTCTAAGACAATTCCAGCAAAGGTGAAACTTAAAATGATCTAAAAGTTTATATGTAATATATACTCCCCCATCTCTAACATATACTCAGATTAATATTTAATATCCTCTCCCCTTGCTCCAATAAGGTGTTGAGGCTTCGTTCCCATCCCCTATAAGATAAATTAAGCCTAAAGATGCAACACACACGTATTCTCTCAGTTTGGCACAAGAAAGAGTACACAGTAAGGTTACCTACCTGGAGACTTTTGTTTGTGGTTTTATTATCACCATTATAAAAACAGCATGCACATTAAAATTTCACATAAACGGACTGACAGAAGTCAAAGGGGAGGGGGAGAGGGGGGACTGGATGAAAGAAAGTGAAGAGATTAGGCAAAGAGCATATAAACATAACCCATGGACACAGACAGCAGAGTGGCGGAGGCCGGGGGAGGGGGGCTGGGTGGAGGCAGACATGGGGGAAACGGGGACATCGGTAAGAGTGTCAACAATAAAAAAAATTTTCTCATAAGATTTTCAAAAGGAAAATCACCGATCCTGACACATCCCAGTGTTACATTCAAATGTGTTTCCTTCTGGATCGGACCTCACCATGGTGGCATTTCTTTTCATGTGGCAAATTTCTTGTACACTTAACTTTAAAATATAGATACCAAAGAAGGGCAACACCACCAAACTTATAAACAAATAAATCATGGGATCTTTTAACAGTAAGTTTACATAAAAAATAAATTATGGCCCGGCCAACGTGGCTCAGTGGTTGAGCGTCAACCTATGAACCAGGAGGTCACGGTTTAATTCCCAGTCAGGGCACATGCCCGGGTTGCAGGCTCGATCCCCAGTGTGGGGCGTGCAGGAGGCAGCAGATCAATGATTCTCTCTCATTGTCAATGTTTCTATCTCTCTCTTTCTCTCCCTTCCTCTCTGAAATCAATAAAAATATATTTTTAAAAAATAAATTATATACACAGCCCCCCAAAAAAATTTTACCTAAAAAGCAGTACGTTTTTATATACAAAAGTTGTATAATTTATACTTGTGTATAAACTTTTATGCTGTAAAATTTTAATATTGAACTTTCCCTCAGAAGCAAAGGTTCTTGAGAAACACATATACGCACAGATACATCATATTCACACACATATATACACACACGCCTATTATAAATGTGTGTGTACGTTTGCCTATCATTTTTTTGAAATGACAAACCGGGGTCAATTCTAAATGACTTTGGAGGTTTTCAATCTATTTCTTACAATAGTGACCTCAGCATTTTATAGCTTACAAGAGAATCATATGTTATAGAAACAGCCCAAGGCCTGAGCAGCCGTGCATTTGAGATTGAGTCCGAGCTCTTCAGGAGGTGACCTTGTGAGCCTTGGTAAATTACTAAGCACTTTGTGTATCTTTGGGTTCTTTTTCTTTCATATCTTTTTTTTTTTTAAGTCTTTACAAAATAAAGTCCTTGTAGCTGGCAGCCTCTAACAACTGGACAACAGCAGTTATAACGACGTACAGCTGCTCTATGTCTCTCACCTGTCTGCTCAGAAGGGAGCCAGCTCACAGTGCGAGCTGCCCAGTGGAGAGGCCCACCTGGCAAAGGACTGAGGGAGGCCACCAGCCCTAAAGAAACTGAGGCCTTCCGCCCAGTACCCTCCTGGGAAGTGAATCCTGCCAAGAGCCACAGGAACCAGCTTGGAAGCAAATCTTCCCCCAGTCAAGCTTTCAGCTGAGACTACAGCCCCGATGACAGCTTACCTGTAGCTCTTAAGAGACCTGGGCCACAGGCACCCAGATAAGCTGTA